GTGAGAGCATGTCAAGTATTTGATTTTCCATGATATGAATACTGAACAGATAATGCATATAAAAGTTGGAACCAAATTTAGGCTAACACAATTGGGCTGATGAAAGTATACTGCCCTCCTCCTTCCCAGCCTCCTGAAAACACTACACAGAGAGCTAAAGGACCACACTGAAAAGCTGCCTTTGATCCCATCCTCAGGAGAAAGGCAAGGTATAAATTCAGTCAGTCAGTCAATAAGGTGAGCTGTAGCACAAGGTGGGTTCATGAAAATCAGGAATAGAACCTTTCTGCTTACAAAAAGCAGTCTCTGGATTCAATCTAATAAGAATATGTCAGTTCTTGCATGGATCATACTAGGGCTTGGAAATGTTACATTTTCAGATAACAACTCCCAGATTACCCCAGATAAGCATGGCCAGTGATTGGGGGATTTGAGGAGCTCTCATCCAAAAAACTCAGCAAGGAAATGCTATTTTCCTGGCCCGACGCCACCAATTCTGCCTTATTGGGCAGCAACTTCTGGGAGTGACAGAGATCTGTTCTCTTGTTGATCAGGACACAGCCGACTGATGTTTCCAACCCGTTGTCAGCAATATTCGTAGTGACAAACAGAAGCAAGATTGTGGTTGAAATTCCTCCTTGTGCTGGAAATTGCTGTTGGGATTGGTGGAAATATCTCCATTGCTCACAGCAGCTGCTAGCCACTATGGCAGCACTGGGGGACTTTTACAGTCCCTCTGTATTCCCTATACTATTGCTATGATTGTGAATATGTAGGCATCATGCATGCAGATCAGTTATAGATGCATAACTCTATGCATTCATAACTGCGAATGTGAATTCCAGTTGTAATTTTTCCAAGCTCTGCATCTCATTCACATTTGGATCAAGGAGGTGGGATCTTTAAAGAAACTTTCAAGTGCACAAAGAGGGAGAGACCTAGAATGTAGCCATAAATGATTCATTCCTGGATAGGCACAAAGAGCAGTTAGTCACAGTCTTTCCTATGATGAAACTATTTGAACTGTAGTCAGGGGCCTGCATCAGAATTCTGTTGTATACATCACCACAAATGGAGTTGTGCATTGATTGTGCTATGCAACCCTTGTACTTAATGTCAACATTATATAACTGAATGCATATCAGAATTTGCAACCAAATACACAAATTAATATGCATTTAATGTGCATGTGCATCTTGTGCATATGAGCATCTCATGCACATCTGTATGCCAAGAGGCATTGCACATGATGTTACACTTCTGCCGTCTGAATATGGATGATCTGCAATGGACAAAACTGTCCAGCCACTTTTAAAAAAAGCAGAAAGCAAAACAAAACTCAACCTCCTTTCCTTTCATTTGGCCATTAAGTCTGAACGGCTACCATCCACTGACACACTACCACATTTCAACTGTCATAAAGCAATGACAAAGTCTGGCAGCCATGTTCCCCAAGAGTGCATGACAAGATTTGCTACCATACTTTCCCTTATATGACACCAATCTGTCAGGTTTCATTTCCCTGAGTTGCCTTTCTTGGCATTCCTTTTATTCTTAGAAATCTCTGTGCATGTTTGCTATCAGAAACCTCTTACTGGGAGTGAATGGGGGCGGGGAGAAGGTGAGAGAGAAAGTGTGAAGGATTAGTCACAAGAGCTTGCTCTTTAGTATGTGGGTGCTGTTTACTACACCCTGAGAAGTGTCCATAAATATTAGGATAGGAAGGAAAATGGCAAAATTAAGTCCAAATTAAGAAGGGCGGAATTATGGCTGGCATTTAGTATTGTAGTTACGGATCCATAACTGCTCTGTATTCAGTAAGACTGTATGTTCTTACTGTAAACCTACCTAGATGCCACCACAGTCCACCTTAAGACACAGCGGTTGGATCAGGCAAAAGAGATCCATTTGGCTTCTGAATTGGGGTTCACAGAGAAGGATGTTTCCACCTCTTCTGCCAGTGAAGAAGCCTGTGACAATCAGAAGAAGGACCTCTGTCACAAGTTCTTCTTGCAGCATCACTAACTAGGAGGGGAGTACAGGGGTATCACTAGGAAGTACAGGGGGTACGAGCCAGAACAGGTGACACCCTAAAGGAGGGGGACATCACTGTTCCCCAAACATCTGCCTTTGGGCAGAAACAAGCTGTGGCATTCCCTTGCATCCCTTTAAAATGCTGGAGTTCAGTAGAAAAGATAGTGTGAGTGAGGTGAGGCTCAGCAGGAGGAGAAAGGAGAGGTCTTGGAGTATTTTGATTTTTAATTTTTAATTGAATTTTTAAAATTATTTTTAAATTATTTTAATTTTTTCTTTAAAAACATCGCATCTTACCAAATTTTCATTTCAACCACATAAAACTATGTACATGTAAATACATTTAGGCTGTGTGTATGATATTATAATTTAAAGATATAATTTAAATTATATCACAACTATTGCCATTACATTTAGCGATATATGGAAACTACAATTTATGAGTAACATTAGTATAAAAAACATTACTAAGGATTCTGTACAGTGTGATATGGGAGAAGGTCAAGGGATGTGTGACACCATGATGCCAACCCTAGAGATGCCATCAATGAGTGGAAACTGGCAACCTGATGGTCAGCTGAATAGACTTCTTTCACCTGATCCAGCTCCTGGTTCTTAAGGTGGATAGGGGAAGGGGTAGATCCAGGAGACATTACTTAAGTTATGCAAATGTAACTAAATAGCTGATCTAGAATATTGGTGTATGTCTTTGGAGAGCTACTGAATAATATTCATTGAAGTTATTATGAGCAAAGCCTCTTATATTATGGCATTTATTAGAACTATACTAGTTTGAGGGACAGATTGGACAAAAGAAGCCTACAAAGTTAGCAGAGTTAAAGGAAAAACCTCAAGAAATCTCATGTACCTTTGAATTTGCTGTAACATCAGTTTTATTAATACACCAGCTGGAGAATTTTAGAGGTGAGTTAACTCAAAGGATTAAATGTTAATTGACCTGTTAATTAAGAGGTTTGATTTCAAGATGGATTTGGAATTTTTTTTTATGATTATCACAGCTAGCCCTGCAATTTTAAGGACTTGCAAGTTCTGCTGGTTTCATTCAGACTGTAAGCAAAATCAGAATATAGTTATGGACAAAAGAGACAACTGTATAGGATCTTAGTGCTCATTTATTTCCTTTGCAACCAAGGAATTGTCTCCTCATGAAAGTCAAAGCGCTGCATCAAATTTTGGACAAATGCCTTTTGATATGTTTCTACCAAATTGAAGAACATACAGCAATGGCTATAATTCTTTGCCGTCTTATAAAGTACCACCACTTTTCAGTTTGTGAGCTCTTGGCCATTACTCTTTTTTTAAATGTTATTTTATTGTTCAAAATAATTATCTGAACTATAATGCGGATAATGTTAGAAAAAATTCAAATTTATTTTTTAAAATAAATTATAAATTGTCAACATCAATCCAGGCAATACCAGGTAGATTTGCTAGTAAAAAAAAAATGTAATAATAACATACAACCAGTATCTTAAATGGTTTAGAGTGGATTCTAAAATAAAAGGCCACGAAGTTCACCAGTTGGTCTCTCTAGATAGGATGGCTTCATTCTCTTTTTTTCTAAGGGTTGCAAATTTAAAATGTACAATGACTCTATGATAAGTTTTCCCCCTATGACATTATGACTTGTATCTCATCATCTAAAATCTCACATAAAATATGCTTTTAGAAAGAAAACTACCATGGTTAATGTATTAGGAGAGGCCTCTTGCATGGCTAGGTCAGTGCACTGATGGTATACGCTTCAGTTCAGACTGTAAAAACAGCAGAGGAGTTGCCTGGTGTCCTCTTGGAGAGAGAGGAGTGCATTTTAATATGGATTGTTCATTATTTTTTCATTGACCTGCTTCCCAAAAGGGCACCTGTTGCCTTTGAATAGTAAATATTGCAAGTGGTCCTGTTGCATACTGGGATATTTAAACAAATATT